ATAATATTAAATTTTAAAGAATACTAACGAGATACTAATGTTAAGGTTGTTATATTTTAGGAATATACGTTTTAAATTTCAGAAAAAATTTCATGTAAAAATAAAAAAAAGATTTTAACAATAAATTCATCTAAAATTTTTTTAATTAAAATTTTTCGCAGTTGCTACGTTGCATTCCGGTCCGTGCTTGGAAAACGAGAAATATTGCAGCGTCGATCTACATTACATGCCGATTTGCGGCTCGGATCACAAAATTTATACAAACATGCAATCGCTTCTATGCGTTCGCCATAAACAATCGAAAGGTAACGTTCTCAACTTTTCGTACAGACAGGTCTCTGTGTCTTGATCTATGTATATATATTTTTATATAAAAAGTTTTATAATATTATATTTATTAAAGCTTCTATATATTTAATAAGTGCAGAGTCTTTCATAACTTTCCAAAGGTATCTCCAATTAACTGTAGACAATTTGAGAATATCTGGATTTTGGATCCGACAGAATTAATGCGAGCGCATTGATTTGATTGCTTTATCGCAAGCGAGAAGTACTCACTGCGAATTCGACTACTGAAACTTTGTCCTCGTAATCGTTTCAGATTTGACAGCCGTGTCGATGACAGACTGCCGACAGAACGATCATTGTGACAGAAACGGCACCGAACATTACGAGGTGAATCCGGTTTGCGCTAATAATGGGCTAACATATCAGAATGCGGCGCAACTCAAGTGCCTGCAACGATATAATCCTGGTAAGGGATCACGATGAAAGAATGTGATAACCAATATTAAAATTTTTTAATTGGAAAATTAAGATTAATATTAAAAATTTTTAATCGTAAGAAGTGACAACTATTTTATTTAATAGATTATTATTGAGAAATATTATGGTTTTTCGCATATATATGCTTAGATTTTAAATCTGTACATGTCAGGATGTATTTTATTTCTCTAGAATTGCAAATTATTCACGACGGCGGTTGTCGCGTGGAATTCGTTCACCAGCTTTACGGTGCGGCGGTTTGTGACATCGCAAAAGTGAGATATGAATGGAATCCGGTTTGCGCATCGGATGGAGTTACTTATTCAAATCCTTTTCTGTTTCTCTGCCATCACCCACGTACGTAATGTAATTCATATTAACAAAATAATTTGTATACATTTTATCGACGGATACTTTCACCAACTTTGCAAGTCAAGTTTGTCAAAGAGCAAAGATATTAAAATAGCAATAATATTCGTAAATGTAATAAAAATTTATAATAAATTAATCTAATCGCAGTTTAACTATATAACTTGAAAATTTATCTCGAATTTATTGTAAATGAATTTCAGAAGAATTTTTATTTTTGTGGTTTAATCAAGATCATCAAATATTTATTAAGAAAACTTTCTCTTGGCAATAGCTAAGATGATATGTGAATGCGCACTTCTTATTTTTTATAATTCAGATCTAAAAGTAATTTCCAACGGAGAATGCGACACGCATAGCCACGATTCCTGCGTAGATGCACACACAAATACGACGGTTTTGCCAAATGGCGAATATATGAACGAAGCTTTTACCGCGGATGATGAGGTTTGCGGAAACGACGGTCACACGTACCAGAGCGTACATCATTTGCAATGTCACACACGTCACGACAAATGTAAGTCTCGCATCGCGAGATATGATGCCGGACTAATATTTCATAAAATGTATCAATCGTAATAGTTAATTGCTAAATACATTACAGATAAGCATTTTGTAAAATCCATTTATTTTCACTTACACGATTGCAATTAAATTAAAAAAATTTATGTGGAAAAAGTCTAGATAAAGAGTTTATATATATATACATGAGCCTTAATAAAGTCTTCGATAAAGCAATAAGAATTGCTACAATTCTCATGCATTAAACTTTAGAAAGAATTATTGCTCGATACGAGAATCGTTATATATTTAAAAAATTATATTTTTCGCTTTTCGATATAAATTTTTCATTATTATACGTAATATTCAGGCTTACGTATCCCTTTTTATTATAGATCTGTTCTTGAAGCATCACGGTCCGTGTTCCGGGCCGGATGATCATCCCTGCGGATCAATACCGGAAGAGGACCATAGACAACCGGTGTGCGGTACCAATGGCAAGTCCTACGTGAGTCCGGAGGCTCTCTGGTGCGCCAAATTACGCTCCCTGGCAGAAGGTGAGACCTGTAAATCGTACAGCATATCTGTAAATTCCACACAGACAAATTCTTGCTCGCATTCAAGCAACGGCATTTTCATTTGGAGTTCTTCCTTCATTAACTCGCGTATGTCGCGTAAAATATATGCATCGCACGTGGTGGAAGTTTCAATTTTGTCTCAACGAAGATATATGGATTTTCATCACAACAGGAAAAGCGTAATCTTAAAGTCATTTTCATACGTTTCATTATGACAAGATAGTATCTCGCGGTTTCTTTTTCTTCCGCGCGCATATTAAGATAGCGGAAGAAGCCATTTTATAAATAAATTCTATCAAGCGACTTGAAATTACAACGTAGAGAAGAAGTCATGATATACATGACTCGATTAAGACGCAATCAAGATTATATCTAGCGTATATTCGAATGTTGAAACGCAACAACGATATAAAGAAAACAAGAGAAAACTGTTTGTTATATCAAGATAAAAGCGTTTTTAGATCGATAGACGGTTGGATTTTCAGTCGGATAAAAGGCATCCTGTTTTTGCAGATATTGCTTACAAGCACGACGGTCCCTGCTAATGAAGACATTGTAAGGTATCATGCAGAAGACTACCCAGCTATTATTTAGCTTACACCTGTAAAATATCTCGAAATATATTTACTCAAAATATCTGTAAAAGTTAGAAACAAAAACTACTTCAAGGTGTCAAAAAATAAAGTCAGAAAATAGATAAATAAAACAAAAACTTTTCTATTAAATATAAGTTATATAAGAGAATATATAATTAAAAATAGATTGTATTAACAAATTATAATAAATGATCTATATTTGTTTCTATTCATGAAAGAATAAAGATTTCAGTTTAAATATAATATGGATATATATACACTGTCGAATAATTCAACAAGTCTACGGAGAATCAGCTATGCATAAGAGTAACGTTTCGAAGATACAGATGACATAAGAAAAACATGCATCAAATTTTGAAAGGGCTTGCTTCAGAGGACTAGGCTTGTTGAATCATTTATAACGTTTCTGTTGGAGACTTCACTCATTTAACGCAGAATTTAATGATGACGCGTTGTCAAGCGTTCATTTCATTACACCGATTTTTAAACAAAATTTTATAACACAACTATGCGTGACTGTATCTCATTAACTATTGAACCAAATAATTTAAAACTTGCGCCACGTGTTGAGTATTGAGTTATGAATAACCCCATAAAATGGCAGCACAAACGGATCAAACGTTCGGAAATGCGAAGCGAGTCTCG